GAGCAGGCAAACTGAAGGAATCTAGTAAAGGAGCTGCTGATGCAAGATAAAGTGTGCTTCAGTGACACCTAAGTGAAGGATCTTTCCTGCTTTTGCAGTATTTCAAAGTGTGCATAGAAAACACAAATGTTAATGTTAATATGAATTACCACCTTAGTTATAAAATCATTAGTATGGTCTATAATAAAGGTACAGTAGTACCTCGATTTATGAATGCCTCAGTTAAACTAATTTTCAGTTTACGAACGGTTTACCTTTTTTCCCCGCAGTACAAAGGAAGTTTCCCCAGGATGCATTGTGCCTGGAGGTTTTTAGCGCCGCCCCCATTCCTATGGCAATCCGTGTTTCGGTTTATGAATTTTTTGCATTACGTAACGTTCCAGGAAATGTATTAAATTCATAAGCCAAAGTACTATTGTATAATATTATTACTGCTATTTCTCCTTCTGGGAGCCCCTTGGGAATCTGCAGCTTGGTCAAGGCTACACCAAGTAACTCTTCTCCCGTTAAGCACAGTGGGAAATCAAACTCCCAGCTAGATACCTGATTCCCTGAGGTACCCAGTCAGAGAGTACTGGCTATACAAACTGCTTAAGGTCATAATAAGCAGCATAGAATATTTACAGTTTTGTAAATCAACAGGGTAACTGTAGGATCCTTTAGGCCCAAATGCTGAGACTTGCTACTCCTCCAAACACATGCATCTAAGAATGCCACCAGCATGACAGTTTTATGATGGGATTATAATTTTAAGTAATAAATTAAAAGGTAATTTGTCATATGTTGGACACACACTGACATCGGATGACTGAATTGATTTTCTGGACAGTGAACTGTCAGCCTGGGAGCAGGTCAAAACCTTTGGCCAGTTGTTTTTTCTCATGCATCACAATGTTTCCATAGAAGATTCCTCAGCCTACTTGTATCAGATGAATCAAATGAGGTTTACTCAAGGAAAAAAAATGGTTTGGGGATCACAGCCCTTTCACTGCAAACCCAGCAGAGGAGATTTATATGTGAAGCTAGAGACCTATTCTGTTGTCTTTGTCTGAAAGCAGGTAGGATGGGAATCCTGCAGAGGTGAGAGGCATGCACCTAAATGCCATAACCTGCACTCCCAACCTGTGTGCCAACTACTAGATCTTTGCACATTTTACACAAATCTAAAGAGGCCCTTGCTTGCTTGTGCATGTGTGCTTGGAAGCCTTGATAAGACAGGGCTCCCAGTCATAGAGTGCTGTAAGTGCATTCAAGTGAGTGGGGACTCAAGCATCCACCTCTTCATATATTTCAATGAACCATTCAAAGGTTTAATTGACATCCAAGTGGGGGGTGGGGAGCACTGGGTGTGAGACTTGCCTGTATGCCCCTAAACTCTGTAGGATTACAGGTCTCCATTTCAGGCTGTCATGTCTGGAAGAGGGATTAAATTTGGGATTCATCAAAGGCTTCATTAGAGGCCTCTCGAGATCTGCTAAACGAAGAGCATCCACACATTAAAAATCCTCTTTTTCAAAACATAACCCCATCATGGAAATGGTGACAGAGGGCAGCAGGACTGGCACACTCCCTCCCTTCAGAATGCTTAAACAAGGCTCTAGAGCAGTGCTTCCCAACTTTGGGTCCTCGGATGTTCTTGGACTACAACTCCCAGAAATAGTGGCCGGCACAGCTAATGGTAGAGACTTCTGGGAGTTTTAGTCCAAGAACATCAGGGGACCCAATGTTGAGAACAACTGCTCTCTACATTGAATGGGCTGTATCCTTTGATGCGGGTGGAAATACACATCTGTAACCATGTCCACTTGGCATTGTTCTGAACTAACTGCATAGTGCTAGATCTAGATGGTGTGTGTGTGTGTGTGCTCAGGCCTGATTAATACAGGTCATGTTTCATGCTAAAAACTGAACTATAATCACATTTTTTTCTTAATTTAGGTGGAGAAAAGATGTACAATGGATCTGTAAGGAATGGAAGACGCCTTTGAAACTGAACGGAGGCTCTTACGTTAGCTTGCTGACCGAGGGGGAGCTGGATGAAGAAGTCTCCTTCTAAAATGTTCTGACAATGTACAGTATTGCAATTAATTTACTACAGTGAAATAATTTTCAGAAGAAGTACAATTTGGAATGATTATATTTAGTACTCTCTGACCCTGGAAAATAATAGCAATTAAAAAGGTCCACACTTCCCGAGCTTTGTACGTTGAAGGAAGAAAACAAAGGATGCCATCCATCACCAGAGCTTCAGGTAGCATGACCATAATCATAAATGCAACCCCTTGAGTGCTGTCAACTAGTTAACAAGCACTAACTCATCAGAATGAATCCATCTAAGTAAAATCGTGTTACTCAGCCACAAGGTGTAGTTTTCCCCATTACACTGGTGGAAATGTTTCAAATGCCACTGTTGTAGGTTTGTTTCAGTGGAGGATGATTTAAAGTTGGAGGGACTCCATTGATAAAAGCAGAGTCCTCAATTACAAAAGGACAGTTTGACAAATCAGTCACATCAAATAGATGACTGAAGCCAAAATCTAACCTTATTCTGTATTTATCTACATTGTTGTCCAAAAAGCTCCTGAAAGAACTTACATAGAATCAATAAAAGATTTATGTGCGCTAAGAGGAGTGTACTCTGCTACATGTTCCTTATAATATGAGGTCCTTTAGTTTTTTGGAGTGCAGCTCCTGTCATCTTTCACCACTGGTTTCGCTGGCTAAAACTGTAGTCCGGCGTCCTCTAGAGAGCCTTTGGTTTGCAATCCTACAGGTTCATACTATTTGCAAAAAACAAACAGACAAAAACCTGATTACTTAATCCAAAGCTAAACAGTTTCATCTCAAGGTCTACTTCAGTCTTACATCACATGCGGAAATGTTTGCACTCATGTTATGCTTCTCATTCATATTTGATGTACAGATGAGAGTAGCTATGAGACGGTAATAGCTATGGTTAAATAGCATCACCACCACAGCAGCATGCTTTGGGGACATTGCTGCTGGTGATCTGAAAGACCTGGAATCCACTCTGCAAAACCCTGAGTTGAATGTAAGAGTGATTGCTATAATAATAATAATATAGTTACCCAACAGTGAGCAACAGTTTTTATAATGCATGGGCTGAGTTTGGATTCACAGAAAAACAACTTGATAATTTCTCCTCTAAGTATTCAAGTTCCAGCTTTCAGGCAGGCACAGGACACTGATACAGTTCTTTGTGGAAGGTTCCCCCCCACACACACACACACACATTGTTTGGTAAGAAGGCGTGCACTCCCTGGGAAGGCCATTATGCACAGAAGCGAGCACAGCCACGACTACTGTTCCACTCTGTGACCAAGCTCAGTTCCGCTCTTTTCTGAAAGGAGCTTTCCCTCCACACTTATGCTTAGTTTCCCACCCCGTCCAGTACCCATAAGGCCTTGCTTATGCATCCTTGGGGAGAATGGATTTTAGGAGGAGGCAAGTGAAAAGGTGAAGGTATCTCCCCTCCACTCTGCTGCACCCTTGTTTGTGAGCAAAGGAGAGTGGATTCGGGCTATTTCTGAATGAGTATAGTATTTATTGCCTTTGCGGGTTATAAGAAACAGGATGGGCTTAATAGGCAAAGCTATGTAGATTCACCAACCCAGGTTAATTGGAAATCCTCATAGTTTTCACTGTCAAATCAAGTTTCAAGCTCTGGGTGCTGATGGGATAGTTTAGAAACAGAAGCCGAGGAAGTGAAAGGAAGGCGCTTTGTAACTAAGCAAGTTGATCAGTAATCAGAGCAGGGGACTTAGGGCTCAGCATTGCTGAACAAGTTATGTGCATATGTGAAGATTAAGTTTATTTGCATAATCTAGAAAGCATGGAGTTAAGTTTCCCTTGGTGCAGGCGTTGAGGTTATCTTGGCACGGTGCGTACAAGGGGGTAAGAGAGGATTACATGAATATTAAAGCAAAGCAAGTGTTCGGGAAGGAGGAACTGAATAGGCGCTGCCTTATCCACGAGGAGAACCACGTGAGGATGCCCAGAGGAAATACCGGACGCCCGTTGCGGGTGCTAGAAAATCACTGGGAAGGGGAAGGGGGGAAATTCCCGGAACTTTTCCGTCCCTACCTCTTCCTCGGACCGGAGATGCTGGGCTGCTGCTCTTTCATCTTTGCGGGCTCCGGCCCGAGCCAGCAGGGCGA